ATGCACCAAGAGCCCGTAACACTCCAAAGAGAAAGGAAAAATTTAAATCGCATCATATGACCCCTTTAAAGTAATAATTTCTGGTGCTCGTGGGGCATGATGATTCCTGTCATAGCTTGGTATTTTGAGATCGATATTTGAAAAAGCATCTTGTGTTCCCACTACATCTGAACCAAAATGATATGACAAAAAAGCAAGCTTATCTCTTGTCAGGAGTATATGATTCAGGCCAGTGGAGGAAACCTGAGTGCTGTAGAAACCAGAAACCTTAACATTTATAATCTCTAAATCACTGCTCCACTGCATTAAACTAGCAAGAAGCGAGACAGAGGGGAAAACACACCATTGCTGTGGGAGATCAGAGTGAACTTAAATATGTGTGTTCACACTAAATACCAGCAGATGCTCATGGAACGCAATCAATGAATCCAGTCACTCCGGGATGTTTCTTTGAGCTTGTATGACGTTGCTTCTCTAGCTCTCTCTTCTCTGTCAAGTTCTGCCATTCCATCGCAATGTCAGAATTTAAGTGCTAGGCTAGTTCTTCTTTTAAAAACAGCCCAGCTTCCGTTTATAGCTGGAGGCAGAGGTCTGTATGGCCCACCAGAGATTTCTGCTTTTGCTGTTTGTTTCAAATGAGTAATTTCTGTTGTTGAAACGTGCAGCAACAACATCCATCTCTTACGCCCTCTATAAACCCACACATTGTTAGTGCTCTCTGTTTTCACAAAATCATTGTTATGTGCATTTACATTATATATCCATAATGTGCATTTGATCATCTTCATAATAAGCTGAACACAAACAGGGTGCTGATCAATAAAAATTGCCATATCACTGGAACATCGTAAAAAGAAAATTGGCCTTAAAAATGAGCTTGATTAATGTTTTATGCAACCCAGAGAGACAGTTTCCATCTAGAATTGTTTATCCATGTATACGTTAGCGATAGTATTGGGTCTGTGTACATTCACTGCCAAACCACTCGAATGAACCAAGGTGTCCATCCAGGTCTACAAGCATGCTGAATAAAACATGGGTCGATTCCCTGTGGAAGCCTTGTTTAGCTTTTATGAAGCAGTGAGGTGTGAAGTACAACAGCAAACGGGAAAACACACGGCCTCTGTTCTACCATAATGAAATAATGAAATGCTCACAGACATGAGTATAAAGTGCATCAAATACAATTTTATGATATTCAAATTGACTGGATCACAGTAAAACTGGGCAGCTGTCTTACTTTTGGCAAGGTCCACAAATCCTCTTGCCAGGATGGTTGAATTGCTGCAACAAACTCAGAGTGCTAATATTTGTTCGAGTGAGAAAAAAAGGTCTGAGCTTAAAAGTAGAATTTTATGTATCCCATGATTGACCAACCATTCCTATTTCTTATGGATTGGCCATCACAACTCTTTAAAATTTAAAATGCTCTTTAAAAATATAAAAAATATAAATTTACATGATTTTAAATTATTTTACATGCAGTTTGTGAAGGTTACAATTTTATGTTTCATTTGAGAGATTTCACCTTAATTTACATTTCATTTGTGAGGGTTCACAGTATTTTACATTTCATTTAAGAGGTTTACATGATTGTACATGCAATTTTACACACATTTACATTTAATTTGTGAGATGTTTACTTTTCATGTCACACCAGATATATTGGTAATGCATGAAAGAAAATGAAAGCGAGAGCCACCTGATAAAAATGGGAGATGGCCCTGAAATAATAATGCCTTAACACCTGTGGAGGAAAAACAAATCGAAATATTCAAAGGTATGCAATCTTACTGTATATATTCAAAAAAGTATTCTTAACATAACGTATTATTCAAAAGGCTTAAATATTAATTTTCAAACTAAAATGGACATTACAGCTCTAACACTTACATTAGAACAAAGGATAGACCCATTAGAATCAACCCTGTTGATTAAAAAACAAACAGTGAAATTTATGCTTACATCAATAATACATCAACAAATTATATTCCCATCTCACCTTCATTGATGTGGCTCAGTTCCTAATTATCTCAATGACAGGCGGCAGTTTGTCTGCTGCTACTATTACCCAGGGCGTCCCCCAGGGATCTGTCATTGGCCCTCTGTTCTTTCTAAACTACATGATTCCCAATAGACAAATAATGTGACGTCAGTCCCGGTTCTAAACTTTCCATCACCCTCATTACTGCATGATTTCATGGCTGAAGCTCTACATGGATTCTTTCTCACGTTTGACATAGAAAAATCAGAAGTCCCACTCGCATATGTTATGCTTCTAAACAACAGCTTGTATACTGATTTTTTCCCCCACCAAATGTGTCATGCTGAGCATTGTTGGGAAATGATACTTTTAAATGTAACAAATTACAATACTGAGTTAGCCATAAAAAAGTAATGATTACCTATGTTTTGAATTTTTCAAAGGGACCATTCACACAGGACATCTGTGTAAGTTTTTAAAATCTGTTGGTTTATGTAAATATGCACTAAATTGCATGCATTTTGTTGTCAGTCTATTAAGACACCATTCCAAGTTAAAACAAATAACACATCTAAAGAACAATTTTGTGCACCTAAAAGGACTAAAATATATTAGGTAAAATTTCTAAAATGTAAATCATTCTTAAACAGATGAAAAGCCTAAAAAATTACAGAATCCCCTGAAACTTTCTAGTTTCTTACTAAATATGTTGACCCCAGATGTTTAGAGGGATCTCTTCAGATTGATGATTTTAAAAAGTTTCAATCACTTGTAGTGAATAGCTCTCCTTGGAAATCAGGGCTCAATCAAGCGTGGACAAACTGAGGAAAAAATCCTCTTCATATCACAGTTTAACACCCTTGGCCAGCTGACTCTCCTGGAAACCTGGGTGGAGCCATCGTGGGTCATCTGGATGTAGTACAAGTATATAATATTCCATGTTCCATCTGCAAATATGTGCTGGATAGAAAATATAATTATGCATTTCAACATCTGATTAACACACGTCTTCAGAAAACTGAAGAACACAGACTTTAGTTCTGAGGTTTCATCTGCATTAGTGCTGATCTAAATGGTAGATGTTAGGTTATTTTAACAAAATATATTCCACCATCTCTTACATAGATCCTCAGTAAAACTCATCAGTGAACACAGATTGAGTTGTAGCTACATTCGTTTTTAAGAAAAGTAGACTTCAGGGACATTGCCAATAATTTTTTAAGCGTGTGTTTGTGTTTTATTTTTTTAAAACCTCACTGTACATATAGGGATAAATCACCCCAAAATCTGAAACTCATGTCGTTCCTAACCATAGTCGATCACTTTCTTTCTTCTGTGGAACATAAAAGAAGATATTTTGAGAAATATGCTTATTTTGGTCTATAAAATGGAAATAAATGGTTACCAAATCTGTTTGGTTACCAACGTTGTTTAAAATATCTTTCATGTCTTTTGGAATGACATGAGGGTGATTAAATGATGACACAATTTACATTTTTTGGTAAACTTTAAGTCAAGGATCATCATTAAAATGCTTGTATTTTTATATAAAAATGAGTGCTTGGCAATGATTAATCGCGATTAATCGCATCCAAAATAAAAGTTTTTGTTTATTTAAAGGTGACATATCATAAAAATCTAACTTTTCCAGGTTTTAAGTGATATAATGAGGTCCCCGGTGCATCTACCAACCAAGGAAACGTGAAAAAGATTAACCCAGTAACTTTGTTTTGGTAAGCCTTTTTCTGCAAGCGTCTGAAAAAACGAGTGCGTCTGATTTTGCTCGATTGGTGACGTGGCAAAGGGATCTCATTATAATATCACCACCGCTTAATCTGTAAACTTCCACTCACGGCACAAGCGACAACGGTGTACCAGTTCTAATGCCATGACGAAAGTGTGAGCAAAACATGCTAACTGTTCTGTCTTTGGCTGCACAGACGAGCACAGAACACTATTTAGAGTCCCAGCCTCAGAGGAGACAAGAGATTTATTGATTTATTTACTGTATATTGCTGCTGCCACACAGATCTAAAATAAACATGCGATTTATTTCCCCGCTGTTTACCTTCACAGACATAACTGACTGTTTTTGTAACTCGTGTGTTTTTAACGTAAACTTGTGTGTGAATGAGAACTTAGTTTAGTACTCACATGCTGTGACAGCCGCTTTCTGTCCATGTGCTTTGGGTGTGTGCACATTTAGAAAACCGTATATCAGAAGTTTAAACTAATATGGTTTAAAAAGCATGATTTCAGCACGATAAACATGATAATCAGAACCAAAACATGTTTTTAGCAGGTACGAGCTGCGCATCTCTATTCTGGAAAAGGGGGCAGGGAGCAGCAGCTCATTTGCATTTAAAGAGACAGGCACGAAAAACAGCGTGTTTCGGCATCAACTCAAAATAGGCATTTTCAAAATGATATAATAAATGATCTGTGGGGTATTTTGAGCTGAAACTTTACAGACACAGTCTGGGGACACCAGAGACTTATATTACATATTGTAAAAAGGGGCATAATATGTCTCCTTTAATATATGTGTGTGTACTGTGTATATTCATTATGTATATATAAAGACACACACATACAGTATATATTTTGAAAATATTTACATGTATATATTTATATTCATATAATTTATATTATGTATAAATATATTTAATATATAAACAACATCTTTTTCTTAAATATATACATGCATGTGTGTGTATTTATATATACATAATAAATATACAAAATACACACACATATAGTATGTACACAAAAACTTTTATTTTGGATGCGATTAATAGCGGTTAATCGTTACCCAGCACTAATAAAAATATCAGGGCGGAGCAAGTTGCCACATGTTTTATACAGTAAATGTGTAATTTTTTTAACTTTTTAAAAATGATTCGGCATGTCAATTATGAAAGAAATGTAGTGTCATTTTGAAATGATTAACTGATTGTTTGCTCAATCTCTGTACAGCTTTGTCTGGACTTGTGTCATTTTATGTCACCGAGTCCACATGAACCTCATGGCGCAGCTGTACTACAACAAGGCCCGTAACTCCCCGTACCGCGGTCGCATCCCGCTGCAGATCGTGAGGGCGGAGGTTGAGCTATCTGCCAAGGAACGAGCCTACCTGACGGCGGTGGAGAAGGGAGACTATGCTGGAGTTAAACAGGCCCTTGAGGAGGCCGAGATCTATTACAACATCAATGTGAACTGCCTGGACCCATTGGGCCGCAGCGCACTCCTCATCGCTATTGAGAATGAGAACCTGGAGGTGATGGAGCTGCTGTTGAGTCATGGCGTGCACATGGGTGATGCACTCCTCTACGCCATCCGCAAGGAGGTGGTGGGAGCAGTGGAGTTACTGCTATCCCACAAGAAGCCAAGTGGCGAGAAACAGGTGCGTGAGGGCGTGACTTCCTTCAGAGGGAGAGTCATACCCAACTTTTCTGATTGGATAGCATGTGTAGCTGTACTGATATGACAGTGCATTAAAGTCCTCCTGGCAGGTTCGTATTTATGAGTTGGAAAGTCGTAATTATGGCATGAAGTTGTATGGTTATTATTATTCAATTTATGGTGTTGTAAATGGAATGGAATTAAAGTGAATTAAATTATTATTATTGTTATTACTATTGTTATGTTCATTTACACTGTACATCTACCGTAATTTTACTATATTATTGTATTTTGTACATGCAACTTAGTTGTATAGTTGTAAAATATACAACTATACAAGTTGCATGTACAAAATATGATATAGTAAATCTATGTTAGATTTACAGTGTAAACAAACATTATAATGATAATAATAATAATAATAATTTAATTCACTTCTAATTCATTTCTCACTGTTCAACACCAACTCAGAAACTCGGCTAAAAGAAATCTTCCAGTTCACAAGTTGCAATTATGAGTTCTAAGAGGATGTGAATGCTTTTTACAAGTTGGTATCTCATAATCACGGTAATTACGATATGGCGTAAAGTGTCAAGTTTCCTATTCGTAAATTATGACGTTGTGGTGGACTTCATGTGCATTCAACTTCATGTGCGTAAATATTTCCATCATGAACTCACCAACACTGTTTAAACTATTTTAATCGCTCTTCATTTTGATGATCCAGTATTGATTCTTAAAGGGGTCATATGATGCGATTTAAAATTTTTCAAAGAAAAATGTCTTTCTTTTTTTAAAGAAGATCTGTAAAGTTGCAAAGACTAAAGTCTCAAATCCAAAGAGATATTCTTTATAAAAGTTAAGAGTTAACCACGCCTACCTAAAACGGCTCGTTCTAACACGCCCCCACATATCTACCTCACTATGTGGGAAGATTTGTTCAAATGTTCACGCAAAGAAAGAAGGTGTAACTTTTATTCTCGCTGTAGTATTGTTGCCGCCGCCATGTCGTGAAGACGCTGTGTGTTTCGTTGTGAAAGCGAAACTACTTTGTTTGGCCTTCCAAAAGAGGATGATATCTGCTTCGTCATGCCTAGAGCTGATCTGTGCTGGTCGCTGAGGGAATACATCAACTTCGCCGGATCGGCTTTCACCGTGGACGAAGCGGAGTCCAGTCCGGGGTCGTCACATGTGGTTGCCGCTCCTTCGTCGAATCCGCCGGCCGCGCCATTCTCAAGCCCACCGGCCGCCGCTCACTCTAGCCCGGCCTCAGCTCAAGCTAGGCCGCCGTGTGTTTCGTTGTGAAAGCGAAACTACTTTGTTTGGTCTTCCAAAAGATGACACGACTACAAATCAGTGGTTAAGTTGTATTTATAACACTGTTCCAGAACAGTTCAACCCAAATATTCATTTGTGTGCAGCACATTTTATGGAGGACTGTTTCCTGATCCTGGAATTGTAGACTACAATGCCGGCAGTTCTGACTCACAGTCTGTAAGTACGTTTTCATTTAAAGGATTTGCCACTGATGATTCAAACGTGAGTTTTTAGCAGTGTAGAGTAGCGTTTGTAGTTTGTCATTTCTCCGATCACAAATGCAGACATGGTTTTATGTTTCCGCGGCGCGATGTAACGCAACGCGTAAAAAGACAGTATAAGTCATTATAATCAGTAATTATGTCCCCACTGGATGCAACAAATGCCTCGTTTGTAATGGGTTTTCATGTTTTTTGTTTCGTCGCTCCGGCCGGGACACGGCATCAACAGTATGGCGAGGGGCGTAACATTTCCGTCACATGCTTGAGGTATTCGGCCAATCACAACGCACTGGATAGCTGGCCAATCAGAGCACACCTCGCTTTTCAGACCGATGAGCTTTGTAAAAATCGACGCGTTTCAAAAAGGCGGGGCATAGAGGAGAAACAATAATGTACAGTATGGGGAAAATACAGTATGTGTTTTTTTTACTTTAAACCGCATAAACACATTTCATTACACCAAATACACAAAATAATGTTCTTTTTAGCAACATCATATGACCCCTTTAAAACCCATGAATTGGTATTTTATGATTATTTAATGCGTGAACACAACGTCACTGAACATTGTTAGTGTGCTTCTCTTTTACCAATCGCAAGGAACTTTATCACGAAATTAAAACAATAAATGTCGTTTTGGCGCTGTTAAATGTCCCACCTCAGTGCAAGCGGGTGCATGGAACGCACGCCAACTGACATGAACATGAATGAACATCAGAAGGTATGCTGAAAGAAACAGTACAACTTACTGAAATGTCTCCGTTTCATGTAATCTCTCAATCAGTGTTTCAACCACGAAAAGACGTAAATGAAACAGTTTAGTAAACAATGTAGAGTAGGCCATCCGTTATTTTACAAATTAAGCCATCCAAGCTAGTTAGTCAACTACAAAATATAACCCCAGAAGGATCATTATATTTTTACATAACTTAGCGATGTCTAATTTATTTGAATAAATCTGTGTAACGACAAACCACCGTTTAACTATTTCCACCATTTTATATTTCAGTAGAAACATAATTATATAATTAAAGTTTATATAAAACTGCCTTATGTGCAATATAAATGTTTGTATTTAACCTTTTGAGTGGTGATTATTATATCTAAAATAAATAGCATTTGAATTTGTGTGCATTAGTTGAGAGATTGTTTTTGGCATGAGTTCAGATAGTGATTGTTTTCAATAGGCTGACTGACATGTACCTGATATCCAAACGAATCAATACTGAATCAAAATTGCACATGAATTGAATCAAGAGCTTGCAAATTTGTGAAATCTGCGTCAATATCCAGTCCTATGGCAGAGTTTCAGCCCTTGCTGTAATTTTCTATTTATTTTTTTATTTTCTCCTGCTGGAAGTGCTGGACAGCACAGATTGAAATCATTTTGCGTTCTTTATTTTCCCACAGCTTTTCGCACCATGGAAATGTGAGGTGCCTTTAGGAAACACCTCTGAATTCAATCACTGGCCTTTTTAAAGAAAAAGGTATAGATATCAGGGTGACTCATTTCATATCTGAAGCGGCTCATAAAATGCCTCAAAGGTATCAGTTTTTCCTTGATCTTTTGAGATAAAAAAACTTGATGTACTATGAACACGCAATATAACATTCAGAACTCAGAATTTTCACTCCAGTTCAAAAAGAGTAGGCTATTCATCAAAACAACTTATTCATCCTTAACTTTGTGAAATGTATTCATCAGCATGTCTGTCTATATTCACATGTATGATTGGTGGAGTAAAATCAGCTCAAAATTCTGATTTTATTTCTAATATGAAGTACTTAGTTTTGCTTTAATGCACCCAAAGAGAATAATCCTATATGAAATGGGGTGATGGCATAAGAGACTCTGTATTGTAAAATATGCCAAGTTCAAGTGTCCATAAAAAAGATTGGTAACGCTTTAGATTACAACCCGCAAAGAACTATGTAAGTATACTGAATTTACGGTGTACGTTTCTGTAATTATAGTGTACCTATAAAGAACGTGCGTGTAGGTATAAGGGAACAATGTGTTACGTTTGGGTAATAAGGGGGTAACAACCAGATATGCAACCTGCAAAGAACTGCGTAAGTAAACTGAAGTTACAGTGTAACTTTTCTGTAATTATAGTGTACCTATTCAGTACCTCCGTGTAGGTATAAGGGAATAATATGGGAAGTTTGGGGAATAAAGGGGTAACAACCTGTAAAATTACAAATCATTTATACTGTAAGTATTTTGAAACTAAGAGGTGCTTATTCTAATATTACGGGGTATGTATGGCCTAAACAACAATCTTATGTTTGGGAATGATTTAGAAAGACGATATATACTTTTTATAATTTTATATTGGTATTTGATTATAGGCGTATAGGTATTTTTTAACCATGGGGTACACATTCTATTATAAAAGGACAGACATGATGGAGATTACTGAACAACAAAACTGGACATCTTGTGAAATGAGTTAATGAGTTTCTGCTATGGTTTATAATTCACAAGTCTACTTACCTTATGAAAGCTTATTCATCGATTTCAGCAACTTCACACCAGCAACTTCTCAACACCACTATCACCAAATAACTTTGCGTGATATACCATCAAGGTTCAATGCAGCTTAAAATAAGTTTACCTCTTTCCAGCTGTTCGCAGAAAAAATACATGATACAACATTTGTATTTCAGTGGATGTGACAAAACCCTCCAGTTTTAAAAGAACATTCCAGTCAGTTTCAAAAATCTCTCTCCTCTTCGTGTCAATTAGTTTTCTTGTATTTTCTACACATATTCCTGTCATGAGCGCCGCAAACACGGATAGACTCGTCTCATGCACCATTCCAGCTGTTTCCAGTTCGCACTCAACACATTCACTGCTGCAGTTTTAAAGGAACACACTCCAGACAGTTTCAAAGTTGTCCCTCGTCTGCGCTTCGATTAGTTTTCTCCTATTTTCCACACATGTTCCCGTCTTAAGCACCGCAGTCACAGATTTTGTCGCACACACAGAACCGTTCACGTTTGAACTCACGTGACTTGCTGCATGCTCTCATTCACGTCCTCCACATTCATAACCCAGCAACATCGGTTTATTACTGATAGTAACCCAAATTGGGTCACATCAAGCCAGCTTCCTAACCCAACAGTCTCAACCGAGCTTTTGTATTGAAACAATTACCAGCGTGTTTTATATGTGTAGGCTATAAAAAAGTGCACAGTGTATGTTTTTGCTTAATCGCTTGCAAATATAAGAGGTCATACATACCCTGTAATATTAGAATAGGTACCCCTTACTTTCAAAATACTTACAGTAGAAATTATTTTTAATTTTACAGATTATTACTCCTTTATTCTCCAAACTTCGCATATTGTTATCTTATACCTACACGGAGGTACTGAATAGGTACACTGTAATTACAAAAAAGTTACGCTGTAAATTCTGTTTACTTACGCAGTACATTACGCAGGTTGTAATCTAAAGCATTACCAAAAGATTACAGTACAGGAAAAACTGATGACAATTTAGATTTTGTTAGAGCCGTAACCATAGTATGAAGCCCATTTTAATGCACCCTTAAAGGGAGACGAAATGGGCTGATGGCGCAATAAGCAGATCTCAAGGGTCGAGGATCCTTAAGGTCTCTAATCATTTTAAAAGGCCAGTTCACATTGCACCGACAGACACCGACAAATGGCAACAAACACATTCATTGTTTTGTTTTTTTATCAGTATCTGTTGGATGGCGATTGTGTTCATCTTTAATATTATGCACAGTACAATGGACTGAACTGTAAAGATTGACAACTTCCTTATTAGCGTACTTTAACTTTTATTTATTGCTCTCTTTATTTCACTCTTCTAGGTTCCTTCTCACATGATGGACACACAGTTTTCAGAGTTTACACCCGATATCACACCAATCATGTTGGCTGCCCACACTAACAACTACGAGATAATCAAGCTCCTAGTTCAACGAAAAGTCACCATCCCACGGCCACACCAGATCCGCTGTGACTGCGTGGAGTGTGTATCGAGCTCCGAAGTGGACAGCCTTCGGCACTCCCGTTCACGTCTAAACATCTACAAAACTCTTGCCAGCCCCTCTCTCATCGCCCTTTCCAGCGAAGATCCCATCCTCACTGCATTCAGGCTGGGCTGGGAGCTGAAGGAGCTCAGTAAGGTGGAGAACGAGTTCCGGCAGGAGTACGAGGAGCTGTCGCAGCAGTGCAAACTTTTTGCTAAAGACTTGCTGGATCAGGCCCGTAGCTCCTGTGAGCTGGAGACCATCCTCAACCATCGGGATGACCACAGCGAGGAGCTGGACCCCCATGAGTGCAGAGACCTGGCCAAGCTCAAGGTAGCCATCAAGTACCACCAGAAAGAGGTGAGTATAGACTGACAAATTTTAAGAAGAGATTGAGTATCATTTCTCCACTATCCACAGTTTGCGGGAGTGTGAATCGTGGTTAGACAGCAAATCATTTAATGGGTTTTTGATACAATTCAAAAGCGATTCTTGCAAATTCATAATGATTTGATTTATCATAAAGTTTGATTCAATTGATGATTCGATTATGTATTTAAAAATGTATACAATTCTTTAAATACTTCTACCAACGTGTCTGATGCAGCAAGAAAGAGATGAAAGACAATCTACTTTGGCTTGTTCATTGCGCAACCGGTCCTACTCGCCCTGCTCCGAGCAGGATTCAAACCACGGTCTCCGGCGTGGGAGGCGGGCGCTGAAAGACTGCAGCCAGTAGCGCATCTCTTGAGATCAGGGGAGTGAGGTTTACCTGCACGGCACCTACTACTGGCCTCCGTTACACTCACCCCCCTAAGCCTCATTCCCATCCAGGTCACGGCACCAAATGTGACCTTCCCGCGTCCTTACCGCCACATCTCGTTCTTGTTCCGAGTGGGTCTCGAACCCAGATCTCCAGCATGGGTGGCAGGCGCACTAACAAGGATGCTAAAGATTGCAGCCACTAGTGTGCCTCTTGAGATCAGGGTGTGAGGTTTACCTGCACAGCACCTACTGCTGGCCTTAAATTGCACAAAAAAGTAACTTTTCCATGGCTATAAAAACCCTGAGTCAGCATTGGTCCAAAGGTAAAGTTCCAATCTATGAATTCCAAAGTTTCTATGATGAATTTCTTTTTATTTTAGTAGTGTTTCTAAGGTAGAAGACAACAGTGCACAATGTCTCCATTAATTCACGTAACTAATTTAATGTTTATTTTATAAATGAAATGTGCTACTTTACCAAATCATGATTAATCAACAATTATTGATCAAAACAACAACAACAATACTACTACTACTACTAATTATTATTATTATTATTGTAACCAATGAATATTTCATTATCAGTGCATATAAATTGGCAGATTTTTTTATTTTTATTTTTGTTACATCCAGAAAACAAGTGATCCTTTACAACCCTAATCATTTGGATTTGGGGCGGTGTGGTATTTTGGTTAATTATCATTGGTTGTAGGTTTGAATCCAAGGTGTCAAGGGTTTGGTGTTTGTTTGTTTTTTCCTGGTGGAAACCCCTGCTGATAAATGCTTTAACAACAATTATACTACCAAAAAGGCATCTTTCTCACAAGTATATCATTATATTAGATGCTTTTTTAAAATCATCTTTGAAAGTGAAGTGTGTGGATTTTTATTTGTTCAATTATTTATTTTATTTTATATTTGTATTTATTTATTTATTATTATTATTTAATTTTTTTGCTCACTGCTTATGATAGTCTCCAGTGCATGGATGTGTAAATTAACCTTAAGCTTGAAAACTTTACTATTATCATCAAAAACAGGGATTGGTTTAGTCATAGTGCAAGCATGTGCTTGTGGCATTTTATAAGCAGCTTATGAAATAAATCTAAATTAAAATGCAGTGTTTTTAACAATCTTAATGTCGGTTAAGTGTGTCTACCGCTAAACTTTTGTCTTGTCCTCTGGCATCAAATTAAGTTTCACTACATGATGTTGCCTTAATAAGTGCATCATATTTTGGCTGCGCATCAAATGCAGTGGGAATCATGTTAAGTCCTCCTCGTGCAATGATTCTATTGATTTTGAGGAAGTCCTTGTTTTTTTTCTCCTCCTTTTTCATCAGCTCTCTTGCTGATAAATTTGTAAAATATTAAAACAGAAATGAAAGACAAAAATGTAATGAATTAAAAAAATATATATATATGAAAAATTAAATGACTAAACCAGGACCTTAAAAACTTTTCTTAAAGTAAATCAGAATGTTTCTTATTTCCCTAGAAATGTTATCTTGAGATAAAGGGCTTTCAACAGTTCAAGTTGCCACTGCATTTTGAATCATTCGTCTGTTTAATAGGAGTCCACAGCAGAAATGACTCCTTTCATAAAACATAATAACATTGCAGAGCAATGTAGGTCAGGCAGCAAGAGAAAAATATGATTTGAGAAACATTATTTATACAATTATTATGGACAGGCACATCATTTTACACCTGCATTGTGTAAAATGGAGCCATTTCTGGGTGTTTGAGTGTTTTTTTCCCCTGCAGTGCTAAAATATAAACCTCATTTTGTGAGAACATGAAGAGTTGGGGTGGTGTGGCATAATGGACTGGGAGATGAAAGTTTGCAGGTTTAAACCTCACAAGGGTTGATTTGTGAATCATCAACAATGGGCTCTTGAGCAATTCATTCTAGGTTACTCCAAGGCAATAGATCTTGCAATAAGTGTAATGTAATTTTTAGTGTAATGTAATAAATGTTTTCCAGTGATAAAAGTAAAACTAAATGACTTCTTACTCAAAGTCTGACAGTTTGATTTAATAACTGATTTCACCTCAGATGCCCGTGGGAAAAGTATTACGTAATGACATGAATGTCAAACCTCACTGGTGTTCACTCACTTAAAAACCTTTTCACCATTTATACTGTTGCCTAACATTTGTTGTTTTTTGTCATATGTGCACTTGGCTGCTTTTTTTTAGGATGATTGATAGATAGTAGTTAAAAAAAAACATTCAGTTAATATATGAGTACACTGTAAAAAATTACTGTGAATTTAACGGTAAAAAAATTTTTTTACAGTGTACGTCACAAAGAATGGCCAAAGTGTCCTACAATGGAGAAACGTAAACAATATCCAAAGATCACAGATCCAAAGCAAAGCAAAACAAAACAAAACAAAACAAACAGCAACTTACAATGGAGGTACATAAACACTCACAATTTTTTATACAAATTTACAAACTTTTTTGTTTTTATTTATTTGTTTGTTTTTGCATTACATTTGTATGATAATCTATGAGTGATTTAATAGCACAATACAAATAATCCTATTATTCATTTTAAATTTTTAGACGTTTCTTAGTAGTTTTTTTGTGAGATTCCCCCTTATTCAATTTTCACATACATTGATATTATTATCAATAATATACGAAGTTACAACCAAGAATATGTATAAACATCTGTATAATCTTAACATCTATATAACACCACTTCGCCTCTATATTTAATGTTTCTTTTTAAAGTGTGACATTCTAAATACGAAAATAACAATTTTTTTGTGTATCACAGTGCTCATGAAAAGTAAATAGACAATATATTGACAATAACTTATAAAAACGAATGTTTTTACTAATGCGTAAAATGACATGATACATGCATAATACTCTGCTAACAACAGTTTAGTATTAACAGTTCTCGAAAAATTAGCCGTCAAATCTTTAGAAATATATGTTGGATGTTTTGTCTTTTATGGTTAGTCCCACAACGTTCTGGAAGCACTAGAATATTACAAAATATTAAAGTTCCCATCCATGCAAAAACAAAATATCTTTAAAAAAATAATAATAATAAAACATGGACAATTAGTACAAAACTTACTAAACCAGTGTTCCATAATTTATGATAGAAGTTCTCAAATATACCTGACCTAAATATTTACTAAAAGTATTGATATGCAATGAAAATAAATTGTATAATAATAATTAGCACCACAGAATTACAGAAGAACCATTAGTGAAACCAATTTTTCTTACATCTTGTCAGAGCATTTCATGCTTAAATGTCAGGCAGTTAAAATATTATGCCTGTTACTGAATACTGTCTTTATCTGTATTTGTCATGAATTTCACTGGCTTATTAGAACATTCAACTATTATTATATTCTCACAGTTTGTAGCTCAGCCCAACTGCCAGCAGCTCCTGGCAACACTGTGGTACGATGGGTTCCCAGGTTGGAGACGACGTCACTGGGCAGTGAAGCTTGTCACTTGCTTCATCATTGGCCTGCTTTTCCCTGTCTTCTCCCTCATATACCTTCTGGCTCCAAAGAGCACCCTAGGAACCTTCATCAAGAAACCTTTCATCAAGTTCATCTGCCACACTGCCTCCTACATGACCTTCCTCTTCCTCCTCCTCCTCGCCTCACAGCATATCGTGCAAACTGATCTGCATGTACAGGGACCTCCACCCACCATTGTGGAGTGGATGATCTTACCCTGGGTTCTAGGTAAGACTTCTTTGGGACATTTGAGTGCATCTTTAGCACACGCAGTATTACTTCTTTTGCACATATGTACCTTTTTAAACTTTTTTCTCAAAGTCTTTTTTCATTGCTTAGAACACTTTAATGCAGCATTTTTAAAATCCCTTTTTAGAAAATGATTAGGAAAAATAAAGTGGGCGGACACTGTTGTGCTGGAATCCAAAGTGTGAAAATCTAGTCTCAAATCTCCATTTAGCTCAAATAATGAAGAAACGCTGATCTGTAACATTCACTTAGCTGGCTCATTTCTCAAGCAGTAAAACTGGTGGCCTGCACAGGAAATAGATACGGCTATGGTTTTATCCCTCTCATGAAGTAAATGAATACTCATGAATTATTGATATCATAATTTATTGACCTCAAGACAAAAGCAGAGGAAATCATATCTCGAGTCCCAGTTCAGGATTGATTACACCAGGGCTCAATCATAATGGCTTGAGGTTTTCTCTCAAAGCACACACAAGTCCAGAAGTAGACACAAGTGGAGGCTTGAAACAAATGATCTGAAGTCTGGAGGACAGGTGCAATCAGCGAAAACGGAGTTTACTTTATTTCTGAGCACTAGGCAGTGGACCAGTGAAAATGTATATATGTTAGCCTAACAGCATTTGTTTGTTTTCTGTTTTGTTTTATTTCAATTAATTAATTTTGGGGACATGTTACAGAGGCCCTGAGGGGCATGGTGAGACAATTTAGTTTTTAAGTACATGTTTTCCAGTATAATTTATTTTGTCTTTTGATTTAAAAAAAATAAAAAAATAAACAAAAAATATATAAATTAAATAAAAATATATAAATTAAATAAAAACACAAATAAAAGAAAATTGATAAATAAAAGAAAATTTAAAAATGTAAATTAAATTAAACAAACAAAAAATGAATCCAAAGGGCAAATGTTTATTCTTAAACACTGGCAGAACTGGGGAAAAAATACAGAAAAAAATAAAATAATAATAACTTTCATTTAGTAACTAAAATATTTTTTTGTTCATTTTGCCCTAAAGGGCTTATGTAGTGAAAGTGGAGGCCCTGCACTTTTTGTACTGTTTTGCCGTTATTGCAATGTTTTGTTTTTAATATTTTCATTTTGGCCCTTGCAGGCTTCATCTGGGCGGAGATTAAAGAGATGTGGGATGGTGGTTTCACAGAGTACGTCCACGACTGGTGGAACCTGATGGATTTTGCAATGAACTCTCTCTACCTGGCTACTATATCTCTTAAAATGGTGGCCTACTTTAAGGTTTATACCAGCATTTTAATGCAAGCTACAGTATTACAGAAACTATTACAGTAAATAATTTCAGCTTGTAGTAGGAACTAGAACTGTCTCCATTTATCTCTCATATCTTCTCTCTCCATCAGTACAACAGCTCTCGTCCTCGTGTGGAGTGGGAGATGTGGCACCCTACGCTCATCGCCGAGGCTCTATTCGCCATCGCCAACATCTTCAGCTCGCTGCGTCTCATCTCTCTGTTCACCGCCAACTCTCACTTGGGCCCACTGCAGATCTCTCTCGGCCGCATGCTGCTGGACATCCTCAAGTTCCTTTTCATCTACTGTCTGGTGCTGCTGGCTTTCGCCAACGGCCTCAACCAGCTCTACTTCTACTATGAGACGAAGGCGTCCGAAGAGCCCAACCACTGCAAAGGGATCCGTTGTGAGAAGCAGAACAATGCCTTCTCTACGTGAGTGAAACCCATTGTAAAGCTCTTTAGTCGAATGTCAAGATTAAAAAGAAGCATACTTTAGCATACTTTTAAAGAAGCTATATGTAGAATTCATAAAGTTTTGTTATTAGTGACACCGGTGGCCGTTAAGTGAACTGCAGCCAGCAACGTATTTGCTCCTTTGCAGTGATACACGCTGTTGACACTGCTGAGAGCGATGACTATGTAAAGATGAATATGTAAATATGTGACCCTGGACCACAAAACCAGTCGTAAGTCACACGGGTGACTTTTTCACATAAAGCTTTGTTATTAGCAACAACGGTGGCCGTTACGTGAACTGCAGCCAGCAACTTATGTGCTCCTTTGCAGCGATTTGTGTCTGCTTTACAATGAAACACAAGCTTATTGCGACCGATTCCCTGACATAACACATTCATTGCGACCCATTTAACGGATGCATCATTTTGCATCAAGTTAGAACATCTTGAACTGCAAAAAACAATAACAATACAGCGAAATGGGGGGGAAGTCGTGGCCTAATGGTTAGAGAGTCGGACTCATAACCCAAAGGTTGCAGGTTCGAGTCTCGTACCGGCAGGGATTGTAGGTGGGGGGAGTGAATGTACAGCGCTCTCTCCCACCTTCAATACCACGACTGAGGTGCCCTTGAGCAAGGCACCGAACCCCCACCTCCTCCCCGGGCGCCGCAGCATAAATGGCTGCCCACTGCTCCGGGTGTGTGTTCACTGCTGTGTGTGTGCACTTTGGATGGGTAAATGCAGAGCACTAATTCTGAGTATGGGTCACCATACTTGGCCACATGTCACGTCACTTTAGAAAAAAAAAATAATCAACTGACTTTGACCATCTAGCCCTCTATTTTTTTACTCCCCTTTAGAACAACCAAATCAAGCCCAGATTTTTGTGTGTGTTTAGATAGATTATTTAGGAAAAGTCACAGAATCTCATTCCACTGAGATGAAGGGAACACTTCTTAAAAACTAAGAAAAATTCAAATGGGGTCAGCTGGACCCCAATGAGACATTAAAGGTAGGGTATGTAATTTTTCAAAAACACTTTAGAAAACTGATTCAGGCTGAATAGCAAAACAAACTTGTAGCCAATCAGCAATAAGGGGCGTGTCTACTCGTGATATGGAGGAGAGAGCTTTCAGTGCATGGGACGGACATCAGCCGAGCGGAGCGACAGAAAGATAGAGATGGTGGATAAAAAAACAAAAGAGGAAAACGTCTGCGGAACGATAAGGCAAGAAGTAGCACCCGTGTAAATATCGGATCAGCTTTCCAGCGCTGGAGAGAACTCAAGGAGCGGAGGCCTGCGATCGGACGCCGAGGTTGCTTTGTTTCTTCTCAATAGGTGAGTAACACCGTGTCTACAACAGCTAAAGTCTGCCTACACTGGATGCGATCAAACGACCGTTGAAAACCAATTGAAATTTGTGTCAGCACATCATATATAGAACCCGGCAGCAGTTTACTGTCGGGGATTTGTTGCGCAGCGCCGCTCACGTCCGATGTAGACACGGTGTAAGATTGGTTTTGCTTTGTTTCACAGAACGAATCGTTGCCTGGGTTGCGTACATATATGTGGGGCGGAGCTATCAAAATAGGGGCAAGAGCCTTTTGGGGTAGGGGCATGTTTGTTTTGGTGATTTCAAATATCAACATTGGCTACCAGAAATCACTTACCCTGCCTTTAAGAGTTAAGTAAAGATAATGTTTTCATGAAGATATTTTGTAAATTAATTAGATTATTAATATGCAATGCGAAGAAATTTATTTGGACAACTTTAAAGGCGATTTTCTCAGTATTTAGATTTTTTTGCACTCTCAGATTCCAGATTTTCATATAGTTGTATCTCGGCCAAAAATGGTCCTATCCTAACAACCCAAAGGCTACATCAATGGAAAGCTTATTTATTTAGCTTTCAGATGACATATAAATCTCAGTTTAAAAAAATGTACCCTTATGACTGATTTTGTGGCCCAGTGTCACATATGTGCTGCATGCTTTCCTCTCAATAACAAAATAAACACAAAAAAATGACAGCAGTGAGAAAACAGCAGTTAAGAAAGCATCTGATCACAGCAATGTGGATATGTTTACATCAGCTCTGCAATTCACCACCATCATGTTGACAGATGAGGTATTTACAATTACATTGTTATAATAGCTTGATTATAAAGTGTATTTGAGACTATAGACTATGTAGATTTGGCTCTGTGAGACTATAGTACAGAGACTACTGTATATTCCATATACAGTTTTAAGCTTGAAGTACACTACAAGTGCACCTTCAATACAATAAGTGTACTTAATTTCCATACATTGAAAAAAGATGGTGACGAGTGGCTGTCACGATACAAAATTGACGGTACAAAATAACAAACTCAGCCTGGCCATTGCTTTTTTTCAGAGTAATGTCTAATTAAAGCAGTCCAACTTGAGAACTAATTTCCAAGTTTTCTGAAGCCAAGATAAAAAAAATTCTAGACGGAATGGGGCTTGCTAAAAACAGTGTTAACTACATTAAAGTAGTTGTCTTAGCTGGTTTAAGCTGATCTAGTTGATATCTGAGCCTGACCTGAACCTGAGGTTGGTTGGACTGGTCTGTTGACTGGTTTTAGAAAGGTGTTGGTCACTTTTAACTAGTCAGTCTGGGAAGTCTGGCTAAACTAGCTGAGCACCAGCAGAATTAGGCTCAGAGACCATCTTATACCAGCCAAGACCAGCAAATCAGCTTAGCTTTTTTGGCTTGAACATCCTTTTTGTTCTCCTAGAGTCAGACGTAAAAAAAACGTCCCGTGTGTTGAGGACATCAGACATTAGATGATAATGACAGCTCAACAGTTGAGCTCCCTGCTTGGCTTTGCAGTAACAGAGGTCTTATAGCTTTGCTAATAATCAGAATAAATGAACTGTGATGCACATATTACAAAACCCACACAGACACTTCAGTCAACTTGATCAATGAATATAATGTGGCCAAGATGCCACACGCAGCTTAATGCTGACCTCCTGCAGAGGTCAAAATGAGAAAGAAATGAGAACGGAAACAAGAGTGGAAATGGTTATGATCTTTCTGAATTTTCACATCATAGCATGAGCCTTGCAGAATCATTTGATCTCGGAGGACGAAGACAAAATTATAGAGCAGCGTGTCATCCATCAACTGTTGTGTGTAATGACGAGAATCTGTTGCTCAAGGCTGTGCAGTAATAATATGTTCAGAAATGGGAAGAGATTTCAATGATACCAATATATTTTAAAACTACTCCTGAAAAGGCAAATATTTGGTTTGATTCTAAGTAAAAACAGTAAGGAAAAGCATCCTCCACTTTTTCTTTCCCATTTCAGTGTATAATAGGAGGTTGAATTTTAATTGAATTGGCCACTCCCTATATGAAATTGAATAGGAATTTGAATCAGATATCCATCTATCTACCTGTCCGTCCGTCCGTCCATCCATCCATCTATCTATCTATCCTGTCTGTCTGTCTGTCTACCATTCTATCTTTCATACATCCTTCCATCCATTTTAAAAGTTTTTTTTAACTTTCCTTTAAAACATTCAAACAAGGGTTTGCTAAGTTTATCTTGAGAAACTTTGCATTTGTAGTTAAAGTTAGTTATAATAATTATTTATATGTTCTTTCTTAAAGGGATACTTCACCCAAAAATGAAAATGCTGTCATTAATTACTCACCCTCCTGTCGGTCCAAACCCGTAAGACCTTCGTTCATCTTCGGAAAACAAATTAAGATATTTTTGATGAAATCCGAGAGCTTTCTGACCCTGCGTAGACAGCAAGGGAACTACCACGGTCAAGGCCCAGAAAGGTAGTAAGGTCATCACTAAAATAGTCCATGCCTTCAAACTTTAAGCTGCAAGAATACTTTTTGTGTGCAGAGAAAACAAAAATAACGACTTTATTCAACAATTTATTTTCTTCCATGTCAGTCTCCGCTGCACATTCACGAGAGTATCACGACACATGCATGTGGTGCTGCTGATGCAGAGTAATTAATGACAGAATTTTCCTTTTTGGGTGAACTATCCCTTTAATTGTACTCTCTTAAAGGGTTAGTTCACCCAAAAATGAAAATTAGGCTGTGTTTTACTCACCCTCAAGTCATCCTAGGTGTATATGACTTTCTTCTTTCAGACTAATTCAGTCGGAGTTATATTAAAAATAGTCTTTGATTTTTAAAGCTGTTTAATGCCACTCAGCGGGTGTTGCATGCATCAGTCCAAAAGAAGTTCAATAAAAAGCGCCCATCCATTAAAAAAACGTCACACACGGCTCCGGGGGGTGAACAAAGGCCTCCTGTAGCGAATCGATGCATTTTTGTAAGAAAAATATCCATATTCAAAACTTAATAATCACTTTAATGTAGCTTGCGCTCTCTGTTGTACACAAAAGCAGCTCCGAGCGGATGATGTATGAGGTCAGCGTTGCGCATGCGCCAGTGAGTCTTGTGAAAACCAACGTTTGTTTACAGGATCAAAGAAAGCAAAGTTTCCTTACTTTAGCAAAGGAAAACCAGTCTCCTCTTGGCTTATATTGAAATCCTCTGACATTCTTTTTTACAAATCCTCATTTTGTACTTCTAATTAGTGACCGTTGTTTTGTTTTGATCTCTCCGCTGCGTTTCCTTGTGCGTCACTTCTGAGCAGCGCATGCGCAAAGCCGACCTCATACGTCATCCGCCCGGAGCTGCTTCCATGTACAACAGTGAGCGCAAGCTAGATTAAAGTGATTATTACGTTTTGAATATGGCTATTTTTCTTACAAAAACGCATCAATTCGCTACAGGAGGCCTTTGTTATGTTTGTCTCTGCTAATTAAACTGGGATAGTAAATTAGTAAAAAGTTGATGCTTTCAGTTTGTGTGTTTCTTTCTTGGCTATATTTGATAAAGACAGTATGTCATTGCTGATAATAGTGCAGGCTTAAACCCATTCAAATTCAGTGCCCAATTTAATTCTAACTTTCCCTTATTATACACAATATGTGTGTTTGGGAGAAACTCGATATATGACAATTCTTGCTTTGCCCCTTTCTTTATTTCCCTCTCTCTCTTTGACTTCTCAGACTGTTTGAAACTCTTCAGTCTCTCTTCTGGTCTGTGTTTGGGCTGCTGAATCTGTATGTTACCAATGTGAAGGCTCGTCATGAGTTTACCGAGTTTGTGGGGGCCACCATGTTCGGCACTTACAATGTCATCTCACTGGTGGTGCTGCTGAACATGCTCATCGCTATGATGAACAACTCTTACCAACTCATTGCTGTAAGTGCCATCTGATACTGATGATTTTTTAATATATATATATATATATATATATATGGTGTAAGGTTTACATTACTTTGACCTGAATCATTTGGTATTGAAAGTAAGTTTGAGAGTGGTAGAGCAAATAAGGACCAGATTTACTAACGGCTTTCACCAGCTCAAACCCTCTTTTGGCGTTAAAAAGCTACTGTCAGGATTTACTAAAGACATGCAGTGAAAAATTTGCCATGAAAAGGCATGGCCACAGTCATTTTTGCAGCTGAACGTATTGCAAATGCATTTGTAGGAGGTTCCATTTCAGACACAAAATTTATGGGAGGAGAGTATTTTAATGAATCATGCAGCAAGATTTACTAATGTTTGCACTAGTTAATTTATTGTTTTTTGTGCCATTATTTACTGCCCAAAAAAGATACGTCTTAAACCAGATGCTAATTTGAGCTGCTCTTGGTAGATTGCATGGTTATTACAGAAATGCACTTTTATGGGATTGTGCTCTCGCACTTATTTGCCCTATTTAGTAAATCTGACCCTTAATGTCTAAAATCAGATGTAATCATGTGGCCAAAAAAGGGCCAAATTCACTCAAATTTAAATTAGCGAAACATTTTTCAGTGTAAATTGCAATGAAGCGATCTGCTTTAACCAGAGGCTAAATGATTAGCTGTTTTAGCTGGATTAATCTGGTCTTAATCTGGTCTCCTAGCCTTGCCAAGATGGTATTTAGCAAGTTTAGTTGGGTGACCAGTCGAAACGTGGCTAAAAGACAGTCTGACCAGGCTAGGTGACTAAATAAAACTTTTAAAAATGAGGAGCATAATAATGTGCATTATTGATTGAAGACTAACTGCCATTTGTATTGTATTTGTGCAATTAGCACTTTTACCATCTGGGTCAATGGAAAATAAGAGTGTCTTTGACCAAAATCTATACTTAAAAACACGTGTGCCAAGCTTTATTATTCTTAGTACTATTTGAATTAATGTGGATATGGCTTTGAAAAACTTTAGCATTTTCCAAATGACTAAAAATGTCATGTGGTGTAACCATCAACTAAAACATGCAGAAAAGCTTTTAAATATATTTCTCATATTTTGGTATTGAAAGTAAGTTTGAGAGTGGTAGAGCAAATAAGGACCAGATTTACTAACGGCTTTCACCAGCTCAAACCCTCTTTTGGCGTTAAAAAGCTACTGTCAGGATTTACTAAAGACATGCAGTGAAAAATTTGCCATGAAAAGGCATGGCCACAGTCATTTTTGCAGCTGAACGTATTGCAAATGCATTTGTAGGAGGTTCCATTTCAGACACAAAATTTATGGGAGGAGAGTATTTTAATGAATCATGCAGCAAGATTTACTAATGTTTGCACTAGTTAATTTATTGGTTTTTGTGCCATTATTTACTGCCCAAAAAAGATACGTCTTAAACCAGATGCTAATTTGAGCTGCTCTTGGTAGATTGCATGGTTATTACAGAAATGCACTTTTATGGGATTGTGCTCTCGCACTTATTTGCCCTATTTAGTAAATCTGACCCTTAATGTCTAAAATCAGATGTAATCATGTGGCCAAAAAAGGGCCAAATTCACTCAAATTTAAATTAGCGAAACATTTTTCAGTGTAAATTGTAACTTCTAACAATATATTTTGTGTTCCACGGAAGTCAGTCATGCAGGATTGGAACATTATGAAGGTGTAGAAATGACAACAGTTTTCATTTTTAGGTTATTTAAGGATGTTATCATAAAACTAACACCATTAAAAAGTCTTTAAAAATAAATGCTAACAAAAATATTTAAAACATTTTTTATTTTATTTTAGCTAGTGACTTATGCTGCGTTCAAGTCCTCCTGGGATGTTCGTACTTACGAGTTGACAAGTCGTAATTACGACGTCAGGTGCGTTCAAGTCAGTTTAGTCGGCACAAGATGGCGGTGTACCTAAGAAAATACAACATGGTCTGTTAAAGGGATAGTTCATCCAAAAATGAAAATGTGATGTTTATCTGCTTACCCCCAGGGCATCCAAGATGTAGGTGACTTTGTTTCTTCAGTAGAACACATATGATGATTTTTAAGTCAAACTGTTGCAGTCTATCAGTCGTATAATGCATGGCAATGGTAACAAAATCTATGAGAGTAAAAAAAAACATGCACAGACAAATCCAAATTAAACCCTGCGGCTCGTGACGACACATTGATGTCCTAAGACACGAAACGATCGGTTTGTGCCAGAAACCGAACAGTATTTATATAATTTTTTACCTCTAATACACCACTATGTCCAACTGTCTTTGAGCGCGCGCACGGCATCCGGTGCGTGAGCTCGTAATAACGACTTTGTGGTGGTGTTCATGTGCATTCAACTTGTAAATACGATCTATCCGACATGACTTGAACGCAAAAATACATTTCCATTTTTGTTTAGTTTAAAGGTGCTGTATGTAGGATTGACACGGAGTGGTTGAACTAGGTATTGCGGTCCAAATTCAAAATATTGGAGCAGGTTTTTTTTCACCTCCTCCTCAGAATTGACGCACATGCAGGTTGCCAGATTGACGACACCAACAGGAACGAGCCCACTTGACATTGAATAAAATGAAATACGCTGTGTTTTCCGCCCACTGGCAACCCCGGGTGCCGAAATACAATTGGGTAAACTGGCAGTGGGCGGGTTTCACAAACCAAAACAGAGACCGACATTCCGGCCCGGAACGCACATTTTCAAAGGAGATTGACTGTAGCATTGTTTTTCAGATAAACAAGTATGTTAACTTAGCATGTTTCCTAAATACCTGCAAACATATTATGGTATTTTTATGCTTTAGTAGAGTCAAAAACTTACATACAGCACCTTTAACTTGAAGTACTAAAATGATTAAAACAAACTAATAAATTAATAAAAACCATATATAGACATTTAAAAGATAATGAAAATATGTGAAAATATAAAATATGAAAAATAAATTCAAAATAATAATAAAAACTATATTAGTATACAGTATCAACAATACTAAAATAACAGTAATGATAGTTCAAACTATTCACCTTTGGATCATAAGTATTACATAATGTCGCACATTTATTGTTGAAATTTGCTATTGTTGTCTGTTTCAGGAAAGGCATGCCGATAACCTTATTCAGAACCAGCACTACCAGGTAATGACATTTGGCCCTATCCATCACAGTTTGGCATCCGTGTCATTAATCCGTTTCCCAGCATGCTGTTGGATCAGAACCTTGCTGTTAATATGTTAACAATTCCAACGGTTTATTTAGATGAGAAAACAAACATTAGCCTACTGGCATCATGCATATTAATGAGTTATTAGAGCATTGCACATTGTATAATTTGCATGTCTTTTCGTCAATGATAGTTCTAGGTGCTTACAAAGAGAAAAATCATGTAGAAGGGATTTTAAATCGGTTTAAAATAAATAATGCATGATCACACTGAAAATAAATATTATGTTGTGTTGTTAATCAGTGCATATTCATTACTTGCTCTAATTGCATTACACCCTGTCCTGCTTTGAATTTTATAACCACTGAATCCCTGCTGATTGCTAATGCAATAATACATAGCCATCCAGACTCCAGCAACCTCTGGTGCATAGCCGCTACACTGTAATGAACATCCATAAAGAAACAACACAGCTGCCACTAAACAATGTAACGTATGTGAGCGCAGGGAGGAACTTAAAGCAGTAATCACACTTCTCTCGTTTGTATACTGCTATTGTTTGTCTGTGGAGCACAGACATTTTGGAGGAATTTTACATAGTTATGCACTATGTAATGGTAATTCATAGTGAAAAGGGTGTCAAAACACCATAAATGATGACGATGCAACATTATCAGAGAATGACAACTCGGGGTACATTTACACAACAATCATTGTACTAAAAATTGAAAAGATTTTCCTTTTGCGCTTTTGAAAAGTTGTCAAACTTGACAACAACAACAGTCAAAATGACCCAAATTCACAAAGGAACTACGAAAACTGCTAAAAACACTGCATTATGGCATGCCAGGCCAGTAGATGGCGATGTCACTTTGTAAAGAAACACTACACACCTGCGGACGTTTTTATAGCTTATATGGAGTTGATAGCATATCGTTTTCAAAAACTTGCACTTTGAAACCCGTTTTCAAAAGCTTCTGTTTTCAGGCCCCCAAGCGCTATTGTCGTGTAAATGAACGGCCAAAACGAATTAAAATATTTCAATTTTTAGTTGAAAGCAGTGTTGCGCAAAACCCCCCTTAAATTTAAAATCTACTGTATGGATTCACAAGATATAGCAGAATACTGAGTCATATGACGCTTTTTGATACATTGTTGTTGTTTTTTTTAGGTTGACAGCTTTGCTTGTGTTGTTGTATGGCAAGAGATGTGTGATGATTGTTCGAAATCTCTTATGTTGTGTGAAAACAGATTTGTCATTTTTGGGTGAACTATTCTATTAAGCAGGGTCTTTCGTGAGTGTGAGGTTGTATATAATTGCTACAGACAAATGTTTCTCCCCAACAATCAAGAGCTGCAATAGCGGATATTGCACTAGCTGTTATTTTGTTGTTGTGCGTAAGCGTGTTTAGAGAGCCACTGCTGGCTCATTCTTTATTGGATATGCAAATAAATGCTAATGAATGCACATCCAGATTTTCACCTCCAGCTAATACATATGTCATGAATATGCCCAAAACTGATTTTCGCCGCTTAATAAACTGGAAAATATGCGCATGCCAATCACATTCAGAGCCCATCACCCTATCTTACCCCATCCGAGAATAAATCTTCACCTCCTTTGGGGATGTGGAAAGTTCTTGTGCTTCATACTGAAGAGGAAAACACGGTTATTTGTAGATCAGAATGTAATATGTCAAGAAAAATGTATTGAAGCCCATCCTGTTTGTGGCTGTTTTTAGGAGGTGATCAGAAACTTGGTAAAGCGATATGTTGCAGCCATGATCCGCAGCGCCAAAACAGATGAAGGGCTGACAGAGGAGAACTTCAAGGTATGAAGGTTTTTTTGGGTCATCTTATTCTCTATATAGGCACTTATAGAGGCTTCGATCTCATTTGTATTTTTAAAGTGTACATTTTTATAATGTAGTAGTCAGTTATGCAGGTTTGACTGTTACATGTGCTAGAAACACACTTTAGAAATGAATACTAATGAAATCAATAACATTGAGTAGATACACAATATGAACCATTTACATATTATTTATAGAATAAATGAACTTTGAATTAGAGCTGCAAATTATTTTCATTCATAATTATTTACTGCCTAATAAGCCGAATTGCTATAAAAGACTACAGTGTTTAGTAAATATTTACAGTCATTATTGTTAATTATTAATATTAAATTAATAGTTCATTAGCCTAACTGTACACTGTTTAAAGTGCAATACAGCAACTTCTATAAATATAAAGTTTGGTTGATGTGCCATCACAGACGTGGGTTCAAACACAGCTCATCCAATCAAATTTCAGAGTGGGAAACTTTATCTTATAAAATCCATTTTGCTTGCTATGAAATTCATAGCCTAAATAGCGATTTCCTTTTAGGACATTTCAGTGCAAAGTGAACTCTTAACCACCGAACTAGGCACAATATGACAAAACGACATTTTATTGGTTGCTTGGTTTCTATATTGTGATGCTATCATCTCCTTATATTAAACCTCAGACATTTGGGGAGAGACTGATTATGGAAGATGATAAAATCCAGATATGACTAATTCCTAAAGTCCACAAGCAAAACCATAAGAACCAGAAGTCATGAAGATAATGGCTGCGTTTACACTTGGCATTAACATGCGACCTGTATCCGGATGTTGTCCACATACACATTGAAAAGACAAGTGTAAAAACACGCTTCTGATCAGAATGTTATTCGATCAGCGTGTCCTGGTCCAGAGGTAGTCGAGGACGCATTGTGATCAGATCTCAATGTAAACGTAAACGCAAGTCACAAAATTCACAGGTCAACATCACGCAAAACACCACCCCCCTCTCTCCCGATCTTCGGAAGAAGAGCGCTAGTGAGACTCATACATTTATTTTGATTTGTAAAATGTCCCACAACGGAAAATGGTTTCTACTTCAGGTCGACTTTGCACCACAGATTTATTTAAATATTGCGCGGGAAATACAGATCAGATCGGTTATCCAGATCGAGAAGTCGGCTGATGTTGCAAAGTGTAAACGCGCCGTGTCCTTATTGACTGATGACCCGATCTGCTTGATCAGATCACGGTGATCGCATATTAATGCCAAGTGTAAACGCAGCCAATGTCATAACATTAGAATATTTCCTGTAATTAGGTAGTGCAGTTTACGCTCCGGTAATTGCATATCGTTTCTCTGCATTCAGGAACTTAAGCAGGATATCTCCAGCTTCCGCTACGAGGTTCTTGACCTGCTGGGCAACCGTAAACCACCGCGACGCACATATTCTTCTAGTAGCGAGGCCACTCAGCAGGACGAAACAGCTGAGCCCGAGGAAGAAGAGGACGAGGAGGGCGATAGGCTTGGAGGACCCAGATGTGGGGATGGGGGAGAGTCATCTAGATCCAAAGCATCTACGTCCTTCTCCCAGTGTTACAGGAGAAACCGAGAGTCCCAGTTCAGCGTATCGGCTCTCTTCAAATCCATGTCGGGACCGGCCAGAGAAAGACAGGAAAGCAATGGCTTGAGGAACAACATATCCCACTCGTCTGCATTTGTGCGGACCAGCAGCCGTCTGCAGCGCTTTTCTCGCTCCAAGAAAAACTCTTTGCAACATTTGGGAATGCTAATGTCTCGTATGAACGGACACATCCCAGACCAACATGCGGAGCCCCCGGGAGATCAGCAGTCCGCATACAGCATCTCAGATCAAGTACCGCAAACGTCTTGGCATGGTCCCCCGGTGCTGTCGAAGGTAACTCGGAGCGAGATGCACCTGCACACGCTGGTACTGGGGCCGCCTGACACTCAACAGAACCCAATGCAGGCCACATCTCAACGGGCAAACGGCAGGGACAGTCTCGTCCTCCGGCCGCCCAGCCACTCACTGCCCCCGCTGCTCTGTGCTTCCAGCCTGACTGCCTCCAGCGCTCAGCTCTTGGCCTCCAGTGATGATCTGTGCCATGGCTGGGTGGGACCTTGTGACATTTTGGGCTCCTCCAGCTGGGAACAAGAGGAGTCGGTTACGACACAGCTGTAGAGGCGAAGTCAGCTCATTAACGTAATGTTTCACAGCTTCAGCCAGGGATCTCCAACCCTGCTCCTGGAGAGCTACTGTCCTATCGATTTCAGCTCCAACCCCAATCAAACACACCTGAACCAGCTAATCAAGGTGTTCGGGGTTAATTGCAAAGGTGTCAGTGCGACCATTTACCTATCATCTATCCTAACAATTAGGAAAATTTGTTCCACTTGTGTTTCTTGATTGAGGCCTACTATATAGTAGGGGGGAAAAAACGGAATGTGAAAAGACCGAGTAGTATGTCCAACTTCACAGAATTCAGGTTCAGAAGTATGCATCCAGTGGACACTTTACTATTCCATTGGCCTCGGAAGAGGATTTGTGAATAGGAAAATAGCAGAATATAGCAGTCAAGTGACACAACTGATGCTAGTAGGTTGCATGAATATGTCCGAATTACATGAATACTACACACATTCATACTATATAGAAAAGGGGTTCCCAACCCCGGGGTCACCGAGCTCATTCCAGTTTGAGGGTTACAAATGGTTTGTAGAAATGGTTGCAGTTTGAACAAACCACGATAAAATTTTAGACGTGTAATATTACTGTTTAATATTTTAATTATCATTAAAACCATGTTTGATTAACTTACTGTGATTTGGACAAACTCACTGTAAACACTGTCCAACAGTAAGCAAAGTTAGTTACAGTCTCATGCAGACATAGCATAAATTAATTGCATGAATGCATCTTTGAAGGGAACCAACTTTCCATGGCCTTTTCTTTTCATCTGCCTTTTCCTTTTCATCGCAGGACTTCATTTGCTTTTCATTGCAGGAGTGCCACCTGCTGTCAGACAGTGGATTTGCATTTTCATTCAGCCCATCTGCTGTTTTTGTTCAAGTCCATGCAAAAATCGGACTGAATTTTGATGCACTGTTGTAAAATTTAACCGGTTGATGGAAAATAAGCTAATGTGCATTCTAAAAATCTAAATTTGGATAAGGTATATAGAAATACTAACAGAGCAGATAAAATAATATTACAAATAGAAATAGTTTTGATTCATATATCCATCATTTTGATTCATAACCCTTTTACTTAAAAACGGTCTGAAATGAGAGTATTTTTAATTTAATTGACTTTGGACAGAGCCATGATCTATGCATAGGTGTAGTATAAATACATACTACATTTACCATGTTTGCATTAACATGTGACCAACAGCATCATCAGTCGTGTCACTTCCCCACAATTTACGAATTCTCTTACCTGGCCTTATGGGTTAGTAAAACGTCCATCACTGCACACGTCAAAGCACTGGCAGAAGTAGTAGGTCACCCAGGTAATTTTCACGTTTTATGAATATTGCGAATTCGGACATTATGCTGATTTGACTTACTACCTTTCGCATACTATTAGCAAGTAGGCATGTTTCGATACAGGGACTGCATTACACTCTTCAGGAAATCAGCTTATGAATGTCGTAAGCTGCATTTTCATTGCAGAGAACATTTGATTACGACTTTCGGAATTCGCCCCCTAGTGGCAATAGTAATGAATATGTAATGAGCATGGGCTATGTTTCCACCTCCTGTGGCTTTGATTTTTTGTTTGTTTTTACTTGAAAAAAAAAAAAACAAAAAAACAAAAAATATATATATATATATATATGCAAAATTATCATGTCAGAATATTACAACCATCAAAAATCCCAAAGAAAGCAAAACTTTATACAACTGAGCTCTTTAAAATATTCTATGCGAGTTGCTTGGATGCACCCTTAAGTATGTGTATTTGCAATATGTATTTCAAGTATTTGTTATATGGGAAGGTGTTCAGATGCACCCTTAACAAATGTAGCAACCTTCTTGCACAACTCCATCCAATGTAAAAACCTGTTTATTTTGCAAGGCTATAAGTTCATGTTTTATACAAATGCATTTACTTTTAAATTACTTACCATCTGCACCGCATGCTAAGTTCTGGTGCTGTAACGTCCTTCATTGTCAACGCTAGTGCAATATTTTCGAAAACAAGCTTAAACTGCAGACTTGAACACGTGTGTGTACTATAGAAAGTCCTTTTTAGAGCTCAGAAAGTGGAAGTAGAACCAGTATATGAAATATGTCTGATACAATGTAAATTATTTACAGATCTTGAAGTGACATTGTATCAGAAGGTACAGATAACAAAATGTGGACCTAAAGATATATGCATCTTTGTAATACACGTGTCTACACTTAAATGTTTATAAAGGGCACCAAATGAAGCTTAAAAATATGCTACAAAAATATGCATATATGTGACCGGTAATATCTTTTCAATTGTTTTTCACAGATGTTTTATAGCAAATGGTGTTAAATTGTGAATTGGCTCCTAAAAACACAACGCATGATCTAATATTTAGAGTTTGCTCAATAACGGGAGCTTAGTAGAGTAGAGAGTCTCATGACTGGTCTCTAAACACTGAACCAGTCACAAATAATATATCAGATCCATTTGTGCATTAGTAACCTCTCATTTGTGTTGCTTCATTATGGTTTTAATTTAAGCTGCAAGCTATCTACAGTAGATTCTAAATGTCTTTTTTGTAAAATTTATTTTCTAACAAATTATTTTTCTATTCTTTTTTGACATAAGGGGTACGTTTTTGTTACACTTCATGTATAATTTATACCTTGATTTCAAATAGAAGCTTCAGTGGGTTTTATTTCATTTTTTGTTTTGTGGTCACATGAACTAAATAAATCATATCTGGGTTAACATTGCTAATGATTGAAACTGCACTTTTTGCTGCTCTTAAAGTCAACATGATATAGACCCTGCCTACATTTTTCTGGTGTTACTGTGCATGTTACTGAAAAAAATAATAATGTAATCTTTCTTTGAAAAGTAATACCCTGCCTCTTAAAGACTTTACTTTTCAGATGATGTCACGAAGGCCACACAAGCTTTTGAAGCCAGTTAAAAATTCTCTCCACATATTGCTGAAGTTAAAATCAGTTAAACATGTCCCTTTCTGTTTTTTTCATTAGTCATTAGCTAAAAAGCTAACAGCTTAGCTCAGATCTAACTGGTTTAAAAAAATAAATAAAAAAAGCATCAAGCAAAGAGAAGGGGTGAACTAATCCGGCCGGTCTTCTGAAATAAAATGCCCAATTATCACAATTAAATCAGTTCCCAATATATAAGTGTTTCACATGTTAATATCCTGTTTTATGTGGAAATGGATAACATTTAAGTAAAATAGGCAGCTTCAAAGATCAGATTGTGAAAATGTGAATCATTCACCAAGTTGCCAAGCCACCACATGATTATCCAGAAAATAAATTGTAACCAGTCCGTCTTACTATTAATTACAAATAGTCAAATTAAGATTTTTTTTTAAAGAAGTCTCCTATATTCACCAAGGCTACATTTATTTTTAGCAAAAACTAATATTTCACAATATTATTTCACAATTTAAAATAACTTCTCTATTTTGATATTGTAAAATGAAATTTAATCCTGTGGTCAAAGCTGAATTTTCAGCATCATTACTCATCTTCTCACAGCAACTTCTTATAATATAATTTGCTACATTTCAGGATGCTTTAAATAGAAAGTGAATTTCTCTCATATAAATACGTTTCAGTTCGTAACCTTAAAATGGATTCGGAAACAACTTGATTTGGTTGATTTTATTTTTTTATTTGTGCAGCTATAAGTGATTTTTTTGACATAGAAAAACAACAGACAATGGTTTCCTAAGGCTCGAACTCCTGGCGTGTTGCTAAACGACTACATTCTGGAAGTGTGCAAACATTTGTAAAAGCAAATGAGAAGGGAACTCTAATTACATTTAGAATCATGTCACCTTTTAAAATCCTCAAATAATTAGGGAAAAAATCCAATATATGCTTATTAAATTAGAGCGATGTTGATTGGGGAGCAAATGTGCGGGGTGGTAAAAGCACACCTACTCTGTCCTGCCTTTCAGTTTAAGTGCTAAGTAACACTGCAGGATCTCTGAATAACCATTCGCCTGTGAAAACAATACAGAACTAACAACTGAACATAAACAGGAACATTTCTGCTGGTAAATGAGACTTAGACAAACTGTGAGTGTGGCAGATGGGTGGGGGTGGTGATGTAGTTGACGGGGGGGTGAGAGGACGAGGGGCAGTATGTGGCGTGGTGGATGCGGGGGTGTGGGCTGGCACCAGGAGTCCAGGGCGTGAGGTAGTGGTATGTTGTGGAGAGCACAGGCATGTAGGGATCATAGGAGGGGTGAAGGGGCTGCTGACCGCACTGCTCCTGCACCAGGGGGTAGAACACCGTGCCGGGGACCACCGCGGGAGGGCTTTCCATGGCCAGAGGGGTGCCTGAGGAGAGGAGGGCATGGGTGAGCGTGTACTAGGGCTGCCCTGACTGAAGATTTTTCTAGTCAACTAGCAGTCGTTCATTTAAAGCCATTAGTTGACTAATTGCACATTTATATACACATTACTTAAATATATATCATAATGAGCTTTTAAAATGTAGTAGGCCTTTCACGATTCCATGATTAAATTTAAAGGGGTCATATGATGATTTAAATTTTTCCATTCTCTTTGAAGTATTACAAGCTCTTGGTGCATAAAGTAAAATCTGTAAAGTTGCAAAGACTAAAGTCTCAAAGCCAAAGAGGTATTCTTTATAAAAGTTCAGAGTCAGCCACACCTACCTAAAACGGCTTGTTCTAACACGCCCCCACGTCTACATCACTATGTGGGAAGATTTGCATAACGTCGCCCAAATGTTCACGCAAAGAAAAAGGCGTGACTTTTATTCTCGCTGTAGTATTGTTGTCGCCGCCGCCATGTCGTGAAGGCACGGTGTGATTCATTGTGAAAGCGAAACTACTTTGCTTGGTCTTCCAAAAGATGACGATATCTGCTTCATCATGCCAGGAGCTGATCCGTGCTGATTGCTGAGGAAATACAACAACTTTGTGCTGTGGATCGCCGGATCGGCTTTCACCATGGACGAAGCGGAGTCCAGCCCGGGGTCATCACATATGGTTGCCGCAAGCCTCCTTCGTCGAATCCGCCG